CCCTTCCCTGACTCGGGAGAACCGCCCGCTAGGTTAGGGGTTGTGTTAGAAGGGTACAGGGACGACGGGCGGGAGAGTTTACCTACGCGTTTGAAAATCGTGAGGTTTGTGTAGAAATAGGCCTTAGGCACCCCTCCCCGCCCCCACCCGAGCGGAAATGTGCAGGCGGCCTGCCCTCCTCTAGCGCCGGGGCCCGCCTTCCCCTGCGGTGACGGCGGGTGGGAGGCGCCCCGGCCCCTCCCGGCGTCCCCGCGCAGAACGGGCTAGTCCGGACTGGCAACGCGGCAGGCCTTGCCCGATCGAGGTGGCTTCTTAACCGTTCTGGGCATAAGGACTTAACTGATCAGTTTGTGGTGATAGCGGGATAGCTGAAAAACTCGGTGTGCTCCTAAAACAGTCAGTGCGATTGCTTAACAGCGTGGTGGGTTGGGGTGTAGCCCTAAGTGGTTTTATCCTCTTCAACTACTACTCAAAAAGCTACCAGTGATTAGGCTTTAGGATCTTACTCCAAGAATAGATACTCTTCCCCCCTCCCATGCAGATCATGAGGGCAGCGGGGTTTCCTGTCTTGTTACTCTGTCCACGTTGGAGGCACATGGTAGACACCTAAACCCTTGTTGGGGGAAATACTACAGCCCCACTCTTAGCTTGTAGTCAGAGCTAGTAATTGATAAGGGCCCACGTGGAAACTTGGCCGAGCCTAGTGCTTTGTAGCTTGTCTCAGGTTAGCCAGAGGGCTTAATGGAAATGAGATAGGAGCTCTGGCATGTCTCTTGGTGAGAATGGAGGTGGAACTGCCAGTAAGAGCTTTTCACTTTAGTGAAGATCTAAAGAGGAAATGTAGCCACTTGAAAGGAGTGCAAAGGTTTGAGAAACATTAAACCATAAGAGACCGTATGTGTTACCTCCCGAAAAGCAGCAGCTAAATAACAAGGTCTTCCTAAGAAACATCCAGGGATTTGAACAGACGATTTGGTCATAGATGTCTGGAATAGTTCATAAAATACTTAACGAGAAAGCTGTCTTTGTGAAAGGGCTTGTGTTTTTTTCTATGGTATTTAAGCTTTTTAGTCAAAATGTTTTATGTATGCAGGAAAGGTTCAAAGCAGTTGTACTAGAAACCAATCTTTATTTTTTTACCCCACTACTAGGTAAGGGACCTGGAAACCAAGAAGTGACTGCTCATCCAATCCATAAAGCTATGTTAACAGATTGGAGGTAGTAGCATTTTCATTACCAGTGACTAAAATTACAGCTATTTGCCCCCTGATCAGGCAGGAGTACTTGCTGTTCCCGATAATCTTGTCCTTAGGTTCAGGCTGAAAGTTGGGGGAGGTGATGTACATTTGAGAAGTCATATATCTGTTTAGAAGTAGGTGTGATACTCATAAAACTCTAAGTCAGTTTTTAGAAGCCTCACACTATTTGAGTCATTGCTGGTTCTGGATTTTTGGCATGTCTTTGGGTCTCATGTTGCCTAACTGAACCCCACAGGAGCTTAAGGCTGTCAGGAGCAGTTCTTATTTGGGATTCAAAGTAATTACTGCAGCAGCATTCTCTTCTAGTGAGAAAATGAACTTATGATTCAGAAGCCCCTAAAGGGAAGAGTACTAAGCAACAAAATATGTAAGCAGATGTTGGCTAATTAACTGTCATTTTCTCTTACAGCTGTTCGCAGACAAGGTTCCAAAGACAGCAGGTTAGTTTTTTGTTTGTTTAACAAAGGTGTTCTGGTTTTAACTATTGTGTCCATATTCATACATACTTTATTTTAACAGAAAACTTCCGTGCTCTGAGCACTGGGGAGAAAGGATTTGGTTATAAAGGTTCCTGCTTTCACAGAATAATTCCAGGATTTATGTGCCAGGTATGAAATTTTACTGACTTCAGTTCTCTTGGTTTGGGATTGAGCCAGAATATTTTAGGGTGTGCATATAAGAGCTGTCATTTTGGTTCCACTTAACCCTTCCTGTTAGTTTAAACTTGAGTTTTAAAGTTGGAACCCTGCAGACTTGGTGTGTTTTTCCAGTTGGGTTGCCAAAAGTGACACGTTCCTCTATAATATTCACAGGGTGGTGACTTCACACGCCACAACGGCACTGGTGGCAAGTCCATCTATGGGGAGAAATTTGATGATGAGAATTTCATCCTGAAGCATACAGGTCCTGGCATCTTGTCCATGGCAAATGCTGGCCCCAATACAAACGGTTCCCAGTTTTTCATCTGCACTGCCAAGACTGAGTGGTAAGAGGGGGGAACATAGAAAGGGCGGCCTTTCCCTGGTATTTCCAGTTCTTAGGTAGAGGAAGGGCAAGAATAACTACCAATTTAGTATCAAAAGCAAGATACTGTAATAGCAAAATGACACCTAGCTGAGTAGTTCTAAGAATGTTACTTTTGTCTAGTTAGCATGTGATTTGTTGGCTCTCTTCTAGGGGTCCATTCTAAAGTTAGGGTTCTTAATGGTGATTGAAAAAATCTTACCCCACCTCTTTGGGGCTGGCTTAAAGTAGTCTGTGGTACTGTCGTAGATTAACTAGTCACCATTAGCTAGTGCTAAAGGCTGGATAAACCAGCCTTCTGGTGTTCTCTTGGGCGTGTGCTGTATTGATTTGTGGAGCACTTGTTATGTTAATGCGTGGTGCGCATTGCTTATTTATCTCTGGTCACAGGTAGTAACGATTATTCTGTTGCCAGGTTGGATGGCAAGCATGTGGTCTTCGGCAAGGTGAAGGAAGGCATGAATGTTGTGGAAGCCATGGAGCGCTTTGGGTCCAGGAATGGCAAGACCAGCAAGAAGATCACCATTGCTGACTGTGGACAAATATAATAAATTTGACTTGTGTTTTATCTTAACTACCAGACCATTCCTTCTGTAGCTCAGGAGAGCATCCCTTCACCCCCACCTGCTCGAAATAATCCTATATAATCTTTGTGCTCTCACTGCAGTTTTCGGGGTTCCATATTTTCCTGACCCCCCTCCAAGTTTAGCTGGATTGCAAAGTTAAGTTTATGATTATGAAATAAAAACTAAACAAAAATTGTCTGTCCTTGTTTGGGTTAGGGTACTGACGTAGGTTTCACTTTAAGCAACAGCAGGTTACATAGGAAAGCAGTACTGGCTAAGTTTTGAGTTGTTTTTTTTTTTTTTCTTTGACCTAGAAATTAAATGCTGCTGATGGAGTTTTCCCCCAAAGCAAACAGAGCGGAATGAATATTGAAGATGTTAACAGCTGCAGGGGAAAAAGCTAGAACTACAAGGTTGACTGGTTTGGGCTAGTACCTCTTGGAGAGTGACTGGAAAATTCTCACTTTGGTGTTATGTTCAGGGGTATCCTATCAAAATTCCTGTAGCAAATTGGAAATCATGGCTAATTTAAAGAGTTTAATTTGAACCTATTCTGTGGTGGCAGTCCTTGAAGGAAATACATCAAGCTTTAGTCTCTACAGAAGGGTCTTTGGACCATGTTCTTGGGATATGTCATCAGTTTGAGAATGTAGGTGCAGAGTACAAGATTGGTAAAGAAAGGCAGACCTGCTACTTAGCAGTGTCCCTGCAGAGGGCGTATGGCTCTGTCTTAACCAGAGGGCCTCGTCATTTGAGTATTTGCAGTCTCTGCATAATGCACACCTGATCAGCCTGAGCCATAATCTCTGGTCCCAATAAGGCCTGTACCTTCATGAACTTGGTTTCCTTTAAAAGTCTGTATGTGGTGACAGGTTTTAGCTGTATAGGCTGAGGGAAACCTGTCGGGACGGTTGATGGAGGTGGTGAGCTAAAAATTACCCCTCAACTGCAGTGTACTCCAGATGGCCCTGTCTGGGGCTTCTAGTCGACCCAGCAGACACCTGACCTGATGGTGTGAGAGGATCTTGACTACTTAAGGGTCTCATGGGTTTTTGTTCGTGTTAGCAAGCAATTGTGCTCATTTTGGATGCTCAAATCGTCCCAAATTTGCCTAGTACAAGCCCCTCTAAGCTGACTTGTCTGACATGATTCCAAGCAGCCTTTGAGCCTTTCCTTGTTGCATTATTGCATAATTTTAACTGAGTTTTGGGAGAGAAAAAAAATAGATAAAAGCATACAACTGAACTGTTTTAACCCAGATACACATATGCTCTTTTACAAACTCAGTTTTTCATTGGTAATTTTCCAGTTGGTACTCACTTTTTCATTAACTGTTCCACTTGGCTCTTGCAAAACAGGTACTTGAAAAAAAATTGCTTGTATATTTTTACTGTCTTGCACCCAACCATGTTTCTTTCCCCCTCCCCAGTTTCCTGTTCTTCAACTGAACTGTTTTGAAGCAAATTCCAGACATCCACAAATATTTTAGTATATAGTTTGTCTCAAAGATATGAATTTGCATTTTCAACATAACCAAAATACCACTATCGAAAATGATGCCTTAATAATATTAACTCTCCACTTAAAAATTATTTCAACCATCTCGTAAGTGGGTTTTTCCCCCCAATGGTTTATTTTAATTTGGATCCAAATAAGGTCTGTATATCTGCAGATTAAAAACTTTTTTTTTTACTGAGTTATAGTCAGTTTACAATGTCGATTTCCAGTGTAGAGCACAATTTTTCAGTTATACATGGACATGTATTCATTGTCACATTCTTTTTCACTGTGAGCTACCATAAGAGCTTGTATGTATTTCCCTGTGCTATACAGTATAATCTTGTTTATTACAGATCTTTGAGCAGAGAAGAAACAGTATTTGCCTTACATTTTAAATGATCAGTCTACAACACTGAGGGTAGACTGTGGGGCAGGCTGGACTCTGGAGGCGGCTGCATCGTCCAATGTGAGGGATTGGGGCTTGGGTCAGCATAGTAGTATTGAAAATTAGTACAGTTGTGTTAATGGCAGGATTACTTTTTAAATGCATGAGGAAATATGATTGTCATCTTTATGACCTTGAATTCTGAAATACCTAGTTCTAGTCCGTGTCTAAGTTTTCCTTCCTTTGTATGAATCAATGGCTCTGAACGAATGCAATTTTATGGAACTAAAGCCAATAAATACCATTGAAAAACTAGAAATTCTGTCTATCCATCATAGAGGACTATTTAAATAAATTGCAGTAACATTAATTTATAGTAGCCTTGCAGATCCAATGTCCCCTTAGATAACAATATTCTTTTTTTTTACATTTTTTATTGAGTTATAGTCATTTTACAATGTTGTAACTATTCTTTTACTATTCCTAACTCACAGATGTAACTTTCTTACAAATATAATATTAAAAAATCAGTAATGTCTAACAATAAAGGAGAAAAGAAAGGAAATCACTGATAATGAAGTAACGTGTTTCAGTCTAAATGCTTAGGTCCACACGATCACTCACAGGACACAGTAAAGGTGTCAGAGTGCACCCCATTAACTGCACACGGGTACATTTTCGGTGTCTTCAATATCATGGGCAACGTGATGTGAATTTCAGAAATGAACAACCATCGACAAAGTTCTCAGCAAAGAAGTTGATGCTTCCCTTCTATTACACAGCAGCTGGAGGCCTGGGAAGTGCCAGGGATAATTACAAATGTCAACAACCAAAACTGAACCCTCTGCGTTAATATGTAAAATAAAATTTAGATTTAGATAATTATAAGTGAGTTCTTCACGTACATGAACATGTGGACAGACGTTTGGAAGTCAGTGGGGCATTCTCATGCATTACAAGATGTCCAGCATCACCCCTGTCTCCTGTCAGAGGCTGACACATTTCTGAAGTGCCTTCTGGCTAAAAATCACTGACATAATGAGACAAGATACAGCTGTTAAAGAACAAAGTGGTGCATTTCCAAAATAGCCTCAGCTAGACTTCTAGATGAAAAAAAGCAAAGAGCAGTAGAACGCAATATAGCATATGCTGCAGTTTTTGTAAAAAGCAGAATTAAGTGTATCTTTGTACTTGTATTTTCCCAGAATACTCTTGGAAGGATGGAGGGAAATGCTTGCCAGTGGGCGCTTCAAGGTGGAGAGGTGAAGGGCCACGGACAGAGAGGATTCACCGTCATCACACATTCCTTTTGCCTGTAGTAAGTATTTGAAATTCCAAGATCATACATTCTAACATGAATCAATAGTACAGTTGGTCCTCTGCATCCCTGGGTTCTGCATTCACAGATTCAACCAACTGTGGAGCAAAAATATTGGGGGGAAGGAGAGTATAGCTCAAGTGGTAGAGTGCATGCTTACTGGGTTCAATCCCCAGTACCTCCTCTAAAAATAAATAGATAGACCTAATTACCCCCCCACACACAAATATTGGCAGAGACAAATTCCAGAAAGTTTCAAAAAGCGAAACCTGAATTTGCCGTACACTGGCAACTATTTACATAGCATATACATTATATTAGGTTACTATAAGTAGTCTAGAGATGAGTTAAAGTATATGGGAGGATGTTCAAATGTTATATGCAGATGCTACACCATTTTATATGAAGGACTTAAGCATCCTGCAGATTTGGGCATCTGAGGGTGTCCTGGTACCAATCCCGCATGGATACTGAGGGTCGGCTGCATTTGGCTCACTTCAAAATGCTCAGTGTAAGAAAGATACTGCTGGGGGGAGGGTATAGCTCAGTGGTAGAGCACATGCTTAGCATGCACGAGGTCCTGGATTCAATCCCCAGTACCTCCATTAAAAAAAGAATAAATGAAGTAAATAAATAAATAAATCTAATTACCTCCCCCCAAAATAAAAAAAAAACAAAGAAAGATACTGCTAAAAAAAATTAGTCTTTTTAATTCATCATTACATTAATTATCAGGCAGTTTTCCAAAACAAAAGCTGGGAATCATTCCTGAATATGTAGGTAAAGACATACTTGTTATTCATTTACTTCTTGTGCATGTTGGTCAACCTTCCAATCAGATGTCTGTTTGCAGAGGGGCGATTTTGGGCCCATTTATACAGCAGAAGTCTCTCCTGGCAGTCAGGCTTGAAGGCAATGAACTGAAAAGTATTGGTTAAAAATACTTCTGACACATATATATCTTAAACATATTATTTTTCCTTAAAAAAGACTTTGATTGGGCTACTGTTTTGTTTTAAGGCCACATCTCCTTGGTGTCTGGGTTGTCTTTCATAATGTGGAATCAATCTAACTACTTTCTACCAGATCTTTTAACTCATTTATTTTTTATTGAAGTATGGTTGATTTACAGTATTGTGTTAGTTTCTGGTGTACAGCATAGTGATTCAGTTTTATTATATATATTTTACATATATATACATGTATATATATGTATACATGTATATATATGAATATGTACACACACACTTTTTTCGTATTCTTTTTCATTGCAGGTTACTACAAGCCATTGACTATAGTTCCTTGTGCTATACAGAGGGACCTTGTTGTTTATCTATTCTGTACATATTAGTTGGTATCTGCCAATCCCAAACTCCCAATTTATCCCTCCCTCCCAACTTCCCCTCCTGGTAACCATGAATTTGTTTCTATATCTGAGTCTCTTTCTGTTTTGTAAATAAGATCCTTTGTGTCATTTTTTGTAGATTCCGCATATAAGAGAATATTTTTTTTGTCTGACTTAACTTCACTTAGTATGATCATCTCTAGATCCATCCATATTGCTGCCAATGACATTATTTCATTCCTTTTTATGACTGAGTAGTATTCCATTCTATATATGTGTGTGTGCACAATTTCTTTATCCAGTCATCTATCAGTGGACAGTTAGGTTGCTTCCATGTCTTGGCTATTGTAAACAGTGCTGCTATGAACATTGGGGTGCATGTATCTTTTTGAATTAGAATTTTCTCAGGATATAGGCCTAGGAGTGGGATTGCTGGATCATATGGTAACTCTATGTTAGGTTTTTAAGGAACCTCCATACTGTTCTCCATAGTGGCTGCACCAATCCACATTCCTACCAACAGTGTAGGGGTGTTCCTTTTTTACCACAGCCTCTCCAACATTTATCATTTGCAGACTTTTTAATGATGGCCATTATGACCAGCGTGAGGTGATACCTCATTGTAGTTTTGCTTCCCATTTCTCA